TCTTGCCCATCAAACTTCTCTATCCTGATCTTTCCGTCCTCAGACACCATGTCTTCTGAGTATCCAAAAATCTGACCAGAGAACACGTGAGACCAGATTGAAACAAACAACCAGAACTGACCTCGAAAATTGCAGCAGCAAACTGAACAGTAAGGTTGTTCGGACTGCCCACAGATGACTATCTCGGTGGTCTTCTGATGTGTCGGCAGAAACCCTAGAGTCGCTAGGGTTGGCAGTGGAGGCAGATCTGTGTGTATGACCTAGGCTTTGATACCAGTTGTTAAGAACAAAAGCACACACACACGAATAGAAAGCAAGAAAGCAATAGAGAACACGAGATTTAACGTGGTTCGGTCTAATCTGACCTACATCCACAGGGGCAACTAGGGTTTGTATTATTGAGTGATGATGATTACAAGTACAGGAGATCAAATATATAGACAACTAATTAGGGTTTAACCCTTGCTGGACAAGTTATAGCAAACTGGGCTTAAAACCATTTGGGCCGGCCGAAACCCTAATCTGGTCTCCTAATTCTCAGTTGTCTACAAGTGGGCCACTTTGGGCCGATGACTACACATCACCAACATCTTATGTTGGATGTGTGATTCATAGAGTCTTGAGTTCACAGGAGTTGACATAGATGATGTGGACTGAGTAGGAAATGTCTCTTGCATGTCATGGGATGCCTACGGAGGGTTGGGCTGGGTTCAGAGGGTTTGTGGGGAGGGTTAGGTGGGTAGAAAAAATTTCCAGGTCTAACGGAGTATTGTAGGGGCCTCAAATGGACCTAGCCACCAATGTCAAAAGAACCTAGCCACACATAATGTATTGTAATATATATAAAGTTCTAAAATTTAACTTCAGCTTTTAAAGTATTGTAAGTTTAACACTTGGTATTAACTTCACTTGATAAAAAAACAACTGATACTGCATAATTAGTACATAGCACTTACAAACCAAAGAAATCACTTAATGAATTATTTAACAAAAGATGCAGTTAAAAAAATTAAGTAATTTAGAAAAAATTCTTTGTTCAAAATCAGATCAACGATGCTCATGGGTAATTAGAATAAGCAGAGTATTACCCCTTCTGTCCAAAATTAAAAGTTCTCGTTTCCTTTATGAGACGTCCCAAAAATATATTCCTCTTTCCACTTTTGGAAAGGTTTTTGTGGCTCATATTTTTTCTCCTCTCCATTAGTTTCAACCACACAGTTTCACTTTACCTAAACTCTGTGTTGAACAAAATGTAGACTATTAAATTTGGACGGAGGGAGTACGTAGTTAATAATCAGAAGAAATAAGATCCATTCCATAGGTGACGTGCTAAAAAACAGTCAAATTCAACTTGATTTGTAACTCGATCAGCAAGATCCTTGGATGGTGACAGTCATCACTTCCAGCGAGAGCACGACCGGAAGGAGAGGAGCGACACAGCTTTTTCAGTTTCCAGGTTCTGAATTAAAGTCATTACTGTGTGAGTTGAGTGTTCATGTTCTATTCTTTTTTAGAATTTTTTTACTAACACTTTCATCGTTTTGGCAACCGATGAGACACCAAGGCAACCCTAAGGCGACCCCAACCTACCTTAGGCAGAATCCAGCGAGAGTAGCACATCTTTATCTATACAAAGGTAATGTGTAAAACATGAACAGTGCAATTTTCCCGCCCAAACGTATTGAGCTAAATTGGGCTAATGGGCTGGCGAGGGGATTAATGGGCTGCGGGATGGGTAATGATACTTTGTGGGGAAGCGTGAAAATAAACACCCTCCATTGGTGCGTGACTCGATGCAAACTTTATGTCAAATCAAAATAAATAAATGAGTAGTGTAGTACTCCCTCCGTTCTAAAACTTTCTTCCAAGAGCATTATTCCAACTTCACGGGAATTTATATTTATTTGTGTTTTTTCATGGCCTATATGATAAAATAAAATATTCTTGTCACCACTTGTTTTGTTGAACTTTTGATGTAGTTTTTAAATATGTATGTTTTATTTTTTATTTCTATACCAATATTTAAATAGAATAGATTGAAAAAAATTGGGATATTTCTTCGTTTTGCGCAACGGGAAGAAAGATATAGGACGGAGGGAGTAATATGGAACTGTGTGCGTAGTAATATTGGTGCGTGGCTCGATGCAAACTTTATGTCAAATCAAAATAAATAAATGGGTAGTGTATTGCTAGGAAATTGATTGTGTAGTAAAGTTGGTGCGTGACTCGATGCAAATTTTATGTCAAATCAAAATAAATAAATGGGTAGTGTGTTGATATGAAACCGTGTGCATAGTAATGTTGGTGCGTGGCTCGATGCAAACTTTATGTCAAATCAAGATAAATAAATGGGTAGTGTATTGTGATGGAACCGCATGCGTAGTAAAGTTAGTGCGTGACTCGATGCAAATTTTATGTCAAGTCAAAATAAATAAACGATGCATGACTCTTTAACTTTGTACTTTTATAACAATAATCCTTACGTTTATTTTGTCATCCTTGAAATATTTACATACGAATCAAGTACTTTCATTAATATACATCATTTTTTCCTATTACGAAGTCACTATGACTATTACACTCATCTAAGTTACTAGCCGTGCAACGCACGGGTACGGATCTAGTTAGCACGCAGACAGGACTTTATGATGACTATGATTACATCAAGCTGAAACAATATTATATAACTAGAATAAAATAAAATATATTAAAATCAAAAAATCTAAACTAGAACTAATGATACACACACACACACATAATCCAAGCTGAGAAAATGTTGATATCCAAAGAAATCCAACCATAACTATAGCATACTTTGAGTGTAGAAAGAGAGTTGGTAAATATTAAAAAACTAGAAACAGAAATAAAGTACCTGCAGCCCGAAGTAGTTAATAAAACCATTCTTTCCGAGTGCAGCTGCAGAGGCTTTAATAATATCATCTGACTCTGCAATTACTCCCCTGCATACAGAGATGTACTTCAATTGAAAACATGTATAAAATGTCATAGAATGTTAAAAAGTATTTACCATACAATCCTCTTCATGCAAAACCAGATACACACACAAGCCCACACACTTACACGTGTGTGACACACATGTAAGTGTGGTGTGTGTGTGTGTGTGTGTTTTCACTCAACACATAAGCAATAACAACATATATTAATCATACACGTGTGTATGCATGTGTATAATGTAGGGAAGTGTAAAGATTTCAAATATACATTGTATAAGATGTCATATAGTGAAGAGAATAAAGCATTATTTTACATGCATATAGTACATTCTGAAGTTTGGATTCAGTTGTACCTCAATGTTATAGTGAATCGGTTCCCATAAAGCTGCCCAAGTAGAAGCCCCTCATTAGCATAACTGTCATTTCAATACCATATATCACAGTTGCTCGCATTTTATGGATATAAACATGAAAATAATATTGATCTTACCAAAAGTCACCAACTTTGATTCCAATCAACTTTTCATTGAGAGCTGCCAATTTGTTTGCCCGTTGCTTGAAGACAGTCACCTGAATGGATGAAACGAAGTGTACAGACATGGATGTAGAGAACGAATAACCGCAGGGCTTTGATGTTAAAAAGGACTGTGATGATGATGTTAAAAAGAACTGTCAACCACTGTGCTCTTTCCTGCCCCACACATTGCATGCCTCAATAGGGGTTTGATCTAAGCCTTCTACCTTAGCACTCATCATCTTCTTTAGTGATCCCACCTTAGAACTCTTCATCTTCTTCAGTGCTATCACAACCTCCTCCTTACCGATACATTTAAAAAGATTGTAGCTGTGTGGTAGTTATTCTCTTACTCCCTCTAGGACTAACTCTTTGTTGTCACTCTATAATGGCTTCATCCCTCACTAAAACCTACTCATCATCATCCTTAATGTACCTAATGGTACCTGATTGATTTAATAAAGATCTATGACTCCCAAGAAGACCCAATAGCTAAGAATATCTAATATTTAACTCACTAGGTATCACATGTAAAATCATACATACATACATACATACATACATACATACATACATACATACATACATACATACATACATACATACATACATACATACATACATACATACATACATACATACATACATACATACACACA